CCCAATTAAAAAACAAAATTGAAGCAAGTAAAAAAAAAGTAAAAATAAAGAAAAATAAATTTCCATTTGTGGGAATGTCAATACTCTTGGGGCAAAAACTTTTTTTTTTTTAAAATAAAATGAAACTTTATTTCGATTTTTTAAAATTCATTTAGTGGGTAGGTAGAAAAAAGCAATATAAAATTGTATTTTATTAAAATTGTTGTGTCTCCCAGTCCAGAGAATAGAATCAAAACTTGAAATTCTTAAAAAAATTTTTTATTTTAAATTTTTTTTTAAAACAAAAATATTTTCACTTATAATTTGCAATATTCGAAACGAATATAAAGAAAACTGTTTTTTGTTTTTTCCGCGAATAAAATTTAAACTTCCAAACCCATTAAATAAATTTTAAAAAAATTTGATATTTTTAAAGTCACAATATAAAATTGAATTTACCAATTTCTGCCAGAAATATAATCACTTTATTAAAAAAAAAATTATTCAAATTTTTACACTGCCAGTCTACAATTACAGAATTTTTTCATGGTACATAGTTTGTACATATATGTAAATATGAGTAAATATGAGTTTATATTGTAATGTGGAAATGGGATATATGAAAGTTATCACGGTGTCAAGTAACAAATTCAAGAGGCATCGAATTACATCTTTAGTACAATACTAATTTCTGTTCACATGTAAATTGCTGGCACAGCGTCTGCAATCGAACATGTTTAACCATGAAGAAAGTGCTGACGTAACGTCTACAATTTTGCACGAGGCCGGAAATGAAGTTAATTTTCATTAGTATAAATACCGTTAGATTTTAAGATATCGGAAAAGTCTTAATTTAGTGTTAATAACAGTAGCATTAAATAAACTGTTAATTAGAATCTCGATTATATTTAGAATCTGTTTTTTAAGTAATAATTGTAATTGTGTGAAATAAATTTTATTTTTTTTTTAAATCGAGTGAACGCAGTTTAATAACTTGGATGAACATCTTATAAAAAAAAGCAATTTTTTTTCAGTTTTTATTAAAGTCATCGGTCATTTCACGCCCTTAGCTGTATTGGTTGTATTTAAAAGAGAATATTTAATAATTTTAAAAATTTTAATACACGTGCGCTTGTTACACATACAAGAATGAGAATAAATCCTCATGATAATTTTTATTATTTAATTAAAAATATTAAAGTGAATATTATTTTTATTGAATTTAAATATTTTGGTTATATTTAATTATTAAAAAATAAATAAATTATGTGGAAATGTAATTAATTAGAAGAATCAATGATGAAAGTATAAAATCAACTAGTTATCATTTAAAGTAAAACCAGAAAAACCAAAAAAAAATCTTGAACTCTTCAAAAATAAAAAGAACACTTCATTTCACTATACATACACATTAATTTTTATTCTACTCAATACAAAAAAAAATTCAAGAGAAAATTTCCAACTTATTTAAAAGCATTATACCAATATAATGGTTAACTGGTAAGCAACAAGTGTATTATTTTTTTTTTTTATTTAAATTAAATGCTTTTTCAAATAGAGTGTGAGAAAAAATTCTAGCTAGACAGACAATGATGTAGATATAAACACTCAAATGAAGAGACTTATATTTTGTAGTGCTTTGGTTTTTTTGAGTGATTCTTTTTCTCTCATTTTTTGTTTTTTTTTTTGTTATTGTAATTGCTAATAGTATTAAGTATACTTGGTTGAATTGAAAGAAGAGAATAGAAATAGAAAGTATATATAAGGATCATTATCTTTTATTATTGAAATAAATAGCCATTTTTTTTCTGTTATGTTGAGAGAATTTTTTTTTCTTTTATATTGAAAACTCTTAATAATAATTATGATTCCCTTTCATATTAATTTGTACTTATGTATTAAGGGTATTGAGTTTTCAGTTATAATATAAAAATGTACTTTCAAATTTCACTGTGTCCGTAGGTTTGTTCGTCTGACACAAGATATTTCGAAATTAACCGTTAGTTTATTTCAGAGTTATAATTCCTAAAAATTCATAAAATTTCAATTTTGCGAAATTCCATATTTTTCACGCCGTACGCTTAACTAATTTCTGTAAAACCAAAAAAGCAACAAGTATCTCTGATTCGCCTCCATTGTATAATTAAAACCTGCAACTTTGTGAAGGGTATATAAACTCTAGTATGAATTTTAAAACAATCATCTGCGATATGGACATGTATTCTTGCTCAGTGAAAAATTCTGCATTGATTTAGATATGTCCGTCCATCCGTTAAATCGCATGATGATTCAAAAACGAATAATGCAATCGACATCAAACTTTCACAAGTTGTTTCTTTTTCGTCAGTCGTAGACGGCTGCTATTGCAATTGGACCGATTTAGACAACGGGTTCGGATAGTTGTTATACAACTCACAGAGGTTATATTAAATATTTCAAAAACTAATGAAGGACAAATATGAAATTTCGTATGACACAAGTATGTCCAATTATATATTCTACATATACTATAAAAATTTAAATGGAACGGCTGTACTTGTTCGGCAATACAACTCCAAAATCTAATTTTATATATTCGGAAAATAAATAAAGTTAGGTTGATAAGATTTGGCAGATGGACACATCCAATTGTAAGTCAGACACATATCCGTCAAGTTCCTATAGAGCGGTTACATGGGTTCGCTAACCCTAAATATTTTAAAAACAAACTTTTAAACTCAGATTATCGGTTCGTGCCGACTGAAACATTTTTACTTGTTTAATATTTTTTTAATTGCGAAATTAAAAAAATATTTAATATAAACTAAATTTTAATGAGGAGAATGTCCCAAATCTTCAGTTTTATTCTTATTTTGTTAATAAGCTGTTCATTGTATTTGCTTTATTTATTATTGAAAGAACGTTTCCGAAACGAAATTATGTTTACATAGTTTCAAGTGATACTCAAATGAAAGAATCAAATTTTGGTGTTATGTTCAAGAATGTGAGTAGTAACAAGGCCAAATATCACATATATGTATATAATTAGGATTATCTCATGAATTCAAAATTTGACGCAATATCAGGAAATTTTTTGAACCCCAGAATACTATATGAGTATTTTTCTCAAAATTAATTGCCAAATTTAAATAAATAAAAGTAAAAATAATTCAACGTTTTCCCGTTTATATTTTAGAAATTGTTTTAAATTTATAAAATTTTTCATTTGTATATAAAAGTTCACAAAATAATCCAATATAAATTATTTTAAAAAGTCCTTTTTAAAGTATTCATAGTGGAAAAATTCTTTACACATAAAATTGCAATTTAACACCAACCAATAATGGATCCTGGGGTATTTATTTATTTTTTTTTTGTTTTTATAAATGTTTACTTTTTTTTTAGTTCGAAGAAGAGAATTTAATTTAAGGGAAATGAACTGAAGTTTTTCAAAATCTTTAGAAATTTTATATTGTAACAAACCTGGGGTATGACCTCGATAACATTTTCAATAATTTAAAACCATAAATAAAAAAAAGGAAAAAAATGTTACTTTTTTTTTTCAATTACATTTTTCCTTGCTTGAATATTGAAAATTTTATTATATTCCAAAAAATATAACAAGAAAGAAAAAATGAAAGTAATTATTTAAATTGGTAAAAATTCTTAAAAAAAGTTGAAACTTAAAAGTGAAATTCATTAAAAAAGAATCTCTTCTAGAATTGAGTTTCGACATTTAGTATGGTATAGAAAAAAATTCAATGTGATCAGCATATAATCGACCGCAATTTATATTGTCTAGTTTAGTGAAAGTGATACAGAAGATTATGAAAATGCGTTTTAAACTCTTCTTTACAATTTTAAGGGCTCTAGTAAGCTTTTAGTTAACATACCTAGAAAAATTCGGTAAGAACTAAAAATAAGATATCAAATTTCAAGAAACTCCATCAATCCGTTTCGTAGATATGATAAAAAATGTAAAATCGGCCCCTAGTTCGGTTTCCAAGCCCTGATCCTTCCGTGTCATAGCCAAAATAAATTCACATATAAAATTTCATCAAAATCGGTTCAGCCGATCTTAAGATACACGCGCGCACACACAGACAGAAAGACCGACAGACCGACTGACTTACATCTCTCTAAAATTATTTTTTTTACGCTTCCCTACAATGGAAAAGTGCGTTTCAACCGAAAATTCGATATCTATGCTAAATTTGTTGCTATCACATAACCTCCCCTATAATATGCAATTCAGTCAGTAAAAATGGAAATTATTTAACATTTAATTAACATTTAGAAAATAGTGGATAATACGGGTATTATGGAAGAATTTAAAAAGCATCGTTTGAGTTTTTCTTATATAACAAACCAATTGAAATAATTTAAATGTTAATTAAGCTTTGAAAAATATTTTAAAAGTGCTTTGCTTTAGTCAATGGTATAACAGAATGATAAGAAATTTGGACATTTTTGGATATTCTTCTGATAATGGCACCATTTTATTGCCATTGCTAAAGAAAATTTTGAAATTAATGAACGATAATGTTTCGTTTCTAAATATTAGGATCTGAGTTGGAATTCAATAAATTTTGATATTAAGGCCAATCTTTTGTTCAATTTATTAGACGTGTGTTTCCTACTCAACCTTTCCCTTATTATATATGTAATAAATTGTAAAATATGCACGCCTAATATTGTATAATAAATTCTTTACTATTAAGGTTGATATTATTCGAATTGATGTTTCGTGACTAAGAGACCTCAAATTACGTCGTTGCAGTTCAAGGATGTGTGCGTATTTCTCTTTCTAGATATGCTTTATTTAAATAAGGTAATTTATAACATTCTCAATATATAAATCATATAAAAATCCAAAAATGTAGGTCATTTCAATTAACTGCGTAAATTCTAATTTTTTTTTGTCATTTCTTCATTTTATAATTGAGCCAAAAACTTAGATATACTATAACACAATTGTAAAGTATACGGTCTAGTTTTTAGAAATTTAATTTTAAAAAATTTACAAAATTACTTATACTTACCAATAATACAAATTGGTTTCCTTATAAAACGTAATCTACCACAAAAACCCATATATTTTGAACGACATCCGGCTGACCATAATCTAACAATATATTCAACACCAAAAAATACAACTAAACATATTTCCATCCAAAAGAGTGTTTCATTTGCAAAATCTTGATATGTATCTATTGTGGAAAGGACACTGAATATTAGGCAGACTAATACTAATAGAAATCTGAAAATAAAATAAAAAATTTGAAAAAAAAAAACATTAGGAATTTGAATATATTAGAATATTTTATATGTATATTAATAATATGTATATGTAAATGTATATAAATGAGTACAATAGGTTATTGTATTTTTAATTTATTTTTTACTATTTCACTTTATATTTATTATGTGAACAATATACCACTGTACCTGAAGTATTTTCAATTGATAATTTCAAAATGGACACAATTAGTATTTGTACATTACATTGTTTTTAAAATGCCGCTCAAAGTTTTTTTAAATTTGCTGTGATTTATCATTGTAATTATTGTAACTTACATAATTGTGGATTGTAAATTGATTTTTAAGGAACCGAGTAAGGCACAAGTGTCCCTCCGATCTACAATCTATTTACAATCTATTATTACTCATTTGTTAATAATTGCTTAATTGCAACAGGTGAGTAATAATTGGAATAAAATTTAATAAATTTTTGGCAAAAACTTTAACATATACCCAATGCTCGTGTAGTATGAGGAATTTGAACAGTTATATAATATGGGCGAGAGTCTAATAAGTTTTTGCAATCACTTAATCAAAATGGAGTTTCCACTTATAATACTCAAGTGTTTTAACGTCTATACGTTATGACTTTGAAAGGTAATTCTGAAAACAAAATGCCTTTACTATCAATTATAACTAATTTGAAATTATTTTTCTTTGGTTTATGAAAATCACCTACATATATATTTTCTTAATTTCTTCAGTTTCACTTGTAATTCTGTATAAAAAACTTCTGGCCTTTATAATTAAAATTAAAATTTACAGCAAGTTAATGTAGTTTTAATATTGTTGGAATATATTCTCTGATTGTATAGTTGATTAACTGTAAAACTATAAATAATAATATAGGGTGCCAATGTTTGACCTTTGACCAATTATTACTATAAAACTTAATAACTTCCATCCTTTCGGCAAATACTAACCCTTCGACGTAGGACGCCCTTTCTATAAATAAGAATAATTTGTTGTCGAGAACGGCCCTTTCTATAAATACAAATATTTTGTTGATTTTCCGTTCCTTCCACTGCTACGATGGGCTGGCTTTTCATTTTTCCTTAACTATTAATTTTTGCGATCGGTTCATTAAGAGTTAAAATCTAAGCAATTTTTTGGTGTTTATCCCATTATTTAGCTGAAGCCCACCAATGGTGAAGACAAAATTAAAAAAGCCGAAAACAAAAAAGTAAATGAGGAAACCAAGTCTTTTTTTTTTCTACTTTAATTCCCTTTATTTCCTTTTTCCTTCGATCTTTTGGTTTTTTATTTTTAGCAACACAAAAAAATTATAAAAACAAAAATGAAATAAAAAAAAAACACGAAGAAAAACACTCACTCACAAATTGATTATGAAGAGATTTTCATTTTATAAGTAACATGCTGGTTTGAATTTCAATAAGATTTCTGTAAGGATATTATTTCCATAGGAATCAAGAACATGTGTACATACATATATTTTTGTCTATAATAGAAAATATATCTAATATTAGATTTTACATCTCATGTTTTTAATATTAAAGAGCATAGAGTTTTTCATTTAAGGATAATTTTTTTATTTTTTTTTTAAATTAAGACGCAGACATATAGACATAATAGAAGAAAAAATATATAATAATAGAATAATATATTCTATAAGGATAATGAGAATTAAGGATGATACCCGAACGAACTTAAGGAAAGGAATAAAAGTATAAGAATAAGAAAAAAAAAAGAAAAAGTTGTTTAGAAAGAGAAGAAAAGAATGAGAAAAAAAAAATGAAACCGAAACTTAATAAAGTGTTGACTCTTCATGTTATAAATACTTAAGGTAGGTATAGGAAAAAAAAATTTTAAGGTGGAAATAGATCCTTTTCATCTCATCATAGAATTTGTAAGTACACAAAAAAAGAAGAATGAATCAATAGACAAGTGGTTTCGTATAGAATTTTTAATTTAAAAGGCAGGAAAAATTGAAAACAGGTTTAAGGTTGAAATTTTTTTCGAATTTAATTTTAAAAGTTTTGGGAGTGAAAGTCATTTCGAGTATATTGGATGCCAATTTAGATTTAAAATACTTATCCCAATAATTTTGTTTTAATTGAAGAATGCATTAAAATATAAAATTTTTAATATTGATCTTTTGATATTTGTTTGTCGCAGCCAATTTTTCGAATAAGTACGAAAAAGTTTAAATTTCATTTGCCATCCCTGGTGAATTTGTTTATTTTCGAACGCCCTCTCCGAGCGATTTCAACATCGGATAAAGATTTATGGTTGAAAATTAACACAATTTCTTTGCTAATACTTGTACTTTTTTTAATAGGGCTAGTGAACGATATCATAGATAGTCATGCCCCAGTTTTATGGCATTATAGAGTTTTAATTAGGTAGGTGACTGGGCTGCCGTAAAATAATGCCGTACTAACACCCTTTAATTCGAAATTCTTTCTATAGTCGTAGTAAATTTTAAGACCGAACTCTGTTTGTACATGACGTCGTAATAATATGCGTATTCTTATGTTATCAAACATATTTACAAAAATATATTATATTGAAACACTTTATACTTGTAGATTGTAGATTCCAAGGGATCCGAGTGGGACAGGAGCATCCCCCCAAGCCACCGCAGCCATTTTTGACTTATTGTAGCCACCCCACTCCCCCGTCTATAATATCCCCGTCCCAATCACAAAGCCGGAGATATCCCTAAGGGAGTTGGACAACAGTTCCCGAACACTTGGGGATCCATGTCCAAGACAATTGCGGCGCCGAACAGCCAGTGCCGGACAGTCGCAGAGAATGTCCACGGCGGTCTCATCGCCATTACCACAAAATCTGCAAAGGAGGGAGCCCGCCTTCCCCAGCCTATGCAGGTGGTACTTCACCGGGCAGTGCCCTGTGAAGAAATTCGCAATAGTGCGAACCCGGCTCCTGCTCATCCCCAGCAACTCCTCGGCGAATTCGCTGGAGCACGCCACACTTTATACTTATTTTTAATATTGTTTAACAAATTCCAGAATTACATATATATAAAAGAAAATGATGGATAAATGAATTAATGAGATCACATTAACTCGTTTGCGTTCTTATTAAATTTTATTAGAAATAATTAATAAAAATTCAATTGAATAAATTATGTTTTGGGTATTTACATATACATACATACATACATATAATTAGATAATATACGAAATTATATTAAAAAAATATAATTGATTAATTTAATATTATAATCTAAAGTATATCAAAATGAAATTTGGGTCAAAACAATAAATTATATTTTTCATTAATAATATTATTAACATTTTATACTCGTATTTATAAAAGTTGAGTTTTGTGGAAATTAAACAAATGATACATGTTAAGTTCTCAGGACGGCATAACTTAAAGTTAATAAGAAATAAATTTACTATAGAATTTTGTATAGACGTTAGAAAATTGTGTAATTGTACATTAAACTTTATCTTGACATTTGTACTAACTTTTGCTATTAACATCATTAAATGTCATATATTTAATTAGATTAAGATATCTTAATTTTTTTAAGTCTATTAATGACATTTGCATAAAATTGGGAGTGCGAATAAGGTAGGTAATTTATATACTAATGAATTATTCTTCCACTCCTAAAAGTAGTTAAAGTAGTTAAAGTAAAATTTTGTCTAAGAAGAGCTTATTCGCTCTGCATTCAATTAATTTTTATTTCATTTATTCGCTTTACATCCATTTTGTTTATACAAGTATTTTTAGTAGTGAGTGAATGAGTAGGTAAGTGTTTTCTTATTCGATAATTAAATTCAAGAATTCTGATATAATGATAAGAGGATAGGCGTTTGCCAAAGAAAAAAAATATAAAATATTATAGCTTTTTTGATAATAGTTTTGTTGAATTCGGAAATGACATCTGTGATACACATGCAACTTAATGTTAATTTTTTTTTGTACATTGGTGAGCACGGACTCTTGGCGAATTAATTCAAATTTATTCAGTGTTGAAACTTTAGGACTCAATGTAATATAAATATTTGTTTTATATGTTCACCTGTGAGTATTGAACCCAACGTGTTAAAATTTTTTGGAGTAATAATATTTTACTTGAAATAATAAAATATTCTGAAATTTCCAAATACCATAGAATATTATTGTGTATATACATACATAAATATATATTGTACTTATAAAATTATGTATGAAGAGAAATTGTTTTATTGAAAAACTAGATTGTACGGAAATAATTATTTTACTTATAGATCGGAAGGAATTTTATTGTTTATTGCATACAATGCCAACTTAGAGCATTACAAATATTTTTCAGGTACAGGATACATTTTTTATTAAATCAAATATATATAGGGTAGTAAATAAAATATATATAGCTATAGATTGAATAATAAATGCAATTTTGTAATATTTGTAAAATAACAAACTATAGAAAATAACAAAAGACAATATTACTAAAGAATATTTGATTACAAAATATTTTATTTTACAAGATGTTACATTATTTATTTTCCAATAATAAATATTATATAATCATATATGGTTTCTATGTGAAGTTCAAAATTTATATATTGTGTAAAAGTCTTCACAATTTCAAATCCTCTTATATTTTCGTTAATAAAATACTATGTCTACATAATATTGCTGTAAATTTTATATATAAGAATTTATGTACAAATGTGTAGGGTGTATGTATATAAGTATAGGTATAGATGTTATTCCAGTTCAATAAGTTTACTTCCGATAGAATTCAAAGGTAACCTATGTGTTATTTGTTTAAAATTAGTTTTTTCTTTATTTTATTCAACAATATTTTGAATTAGAAAGTAGAAAAAAAAATTTTATTGACTTTCATTTTATTTCAATTTTTTTTTGAAAATTCTTGTTGAAATAAATGGAATATGCATATAAGTGTAATATATAGGTGTGGGTGTCAATGAACAAGTGATGCTTCTATAAACTCTAAAATGATTGAGTACCTAT